TGTGGGAACCAGTACTTGAGCTGTGTGGTTGTTTAAATTGTTACTTTGCTGCTGTTTCCCTAGGGAAGTCTTTTTGTGTAGCTCAGGGTTTAATGGTTGACCCTATAGGTACTTCCGGCTCTCCAGAGACTCAGTGGACCTGTGTTCTGTAGAATCTCTGATCTGGGCCTGAGTTTTTTCATGTAACTGCACCCCATGCAATTCTGCATTCCTGACTAGTTTCCTCTGAGTGGTCCTGCACTGATTGTGGGGCAGGTCGGCTGTCTTTGCTGTGTCCCAGTGTTCTCCTGGTGGGCACGTCTCCCCCACTGATCGTGCTGCACACTTCCAATGCAATGGTCCCTTGCGATGACTCACCGGCCTCTGAGTGGCTCCCTTTTTTCAGTTGTTATGGCTCCTCACTCCTGCATGGGTCCACATGAACCCTATTAGTGGTCTTGCTCTCCTGGGGGCCTCCAAGGCCGTCTTCTCTCTTGCTGCCTCCTAGTGACTTCATCTGAAGGGCACAGCTGTGGCTTCTGCCGGCTCCTGGTCCATGCGCTCATCAGCTTGAGCCTTAAAGCAGCCACGGCCCGAAATGCTCAGAGCAGCTTTTTCTTTCTCTCATCGTAGTTTCTCCCGTCTCTTCATGAACTCTGTATGTCTCTCCTCCTCTCCCCCTGAGCTCCAGCGGCCCCAGTTTGGCTGATGTTACATTTTTTTTTTTCCTTTTTGTCTTTTTTCGTGACCGGCAACGGATCGCAACCCTCAGTGTCGGGCCCCTACCAGACCGGGACCGGCAACGGGATCGCAACCCTCGGTGTTGCTCCCGCACCTCGCTCAGCCAGTGAGCGGCCGGTCTGTATCTGGGATCCGAACCCTCGGCGGGAGCACTGCTGCGCTCCCAAGCGGCACACTGTAGCAGTGTGCCACCGGGCCGGCCCTGGCTGATGTTACATTTTTAAAGTTGTAAATTTGGTTGATTTGTGGGAGAGAGTGGTGCTGCGGTCCGTCTATTCTGCCTTCTTGATTGGATCTCCAGATGGTGCTATTGTAATTCTGTTTGTACATGTAACTTAATATTCTTACTGCTTATATATATATTTAATGGTGTTGGGAGCAAGAAGGTTTTCAAGAGAAGATAATTTTGTATTGGTATAGGAATATTATATTAGACAAGTGTTTAGTTTAGCTGGTCAAATTATGCTTAAGATATTTGTAATTTTAACCATTGCAAATTGATCAGCTAGCTACAAAGGCATAAAATTAATTGATAGATAATACTGGAAATAACTTAAATTTTTATATATATATATTTTTTTTCAAGGTGCAAACAGGGTTTATTTCACATTAATGTATTAACTGGATTTTTTGTCAAATAAATAGGGAATTCTCTAAATAACTATCTCCTCACTTCATGGTTAGTCCAGGAACAACAAAGGAAAATTCTAGTGCATCCATGGGGCATGAAGCTTAAGGGGAAGAAGGAGGCTGAGACGCTGGTGCAGGTCACGGTCAGCACATGGGCTCAGCAGCCCCCAAGTGGCGTGATGGGACAGACATGCATTCTCCAGTCCCCATCGAGAAGCCCCTGCTAGAGGGAAGTGAGGCGAGAGGGAAAGCACATTCCAGAAACACTGACAGGGAAACAGTGGGGCTTTCTCCCCAGCTGCAGGGACCTTGCCCCACGCCACCCCAACCCCAGAAGCTCACATGAGAGCTCCCAAAGTCACACAGAGGTGGCAACAGAATGACCAAGGAAAGGGAAGGGAGTGTGATTGGGGCTGGGCATGGCTGGATAGAATGTGGGCTGATGGTTCGCAGGACAGTGGCCTTCCACAGTTGGGCATAAACAACTGAAGGAAATGTCAGTGGGGTCTGGCAGGGCCCTGCGGGGAAGATACATGGCTGGTATGACAGGGCTCGTGAGACCGAGTTTGGAGTGGCTATCAGACGGAGGGAGCTGGACTGCAGTGGAGGTGGCAGCCAGAGAGTCCCTCATGGGGAGAAGCTACTAGAGTGAAACAAGAACAAGGGGGATGCCCCGTGCTCCTGAGGAGGACCTGCCACAGGCACTAGGCTGGCGTGGGAGCTGGGAGGCAACTCTCCAGAGGCAGCCCCTTCCCACGGGGCCAGTTATAACCTGGACTGGAGGAAGAACAGGGCCCCCTCGCCACTCCCAACCTGATGCTGCCCCATGGGGAGGGGCGGGAAGTGATATGGGTGGGAGGGGGGGATGAGGGGTGTACTGGGTCTTCTTATCTTCAGGGGCCCAGTGGTGGGGGCTGCACGTATCCCATGGCCCTGTCCATCATGGGAGGTCCTGGGTAGAACTTGGGTGGGGGTGGTGGTGGATAAGGGTAGCCAGGAGGGCAGGGGTACATTCCATTGGCGACGGGCGGGGGAAGACATAGGCCTCGCTGGGCATGTAAGAGTAGCCATTGGCTCCATTGAGGGCTTCACCTCTGGAGGCTTGAGATGCC